TATTTATTTTACACATATGAGTACACTTCAGACACACCAGAAAAGGGTGCCAGATCACATTGCAGATGGTTGTGAGTCACCATGTGGTTGCTGGGAATTGAACTCAGGACCTTTGGAAGAGCAGTCAGTGCTCTTAACCACTTAGCCATCTCTCCAGCCCTTGTGGGGAAGTTTCTTAATGATAAATGTGGGAGAGTTCAGTAACTGGGGGCAGTACCATCCCTAGGCAGGTACCTCTGACTTGAATACTTTTCTGCCTAAGTTGCTTTTGGTTGTATTTATTAATATTATTATTACTATTATTATTACTATTATTATTATTATTTTAATCGCAGCAATAGAAAGCAAAGTAGGAGAGCTAGAGAAAGCTTAGATTATATTGGAAGGAGGGTCAATGAAAATATGAACAAAAAAGGCTACTCTGGGGCTGGGGAAATCCCCAGAACCGACATACATGCCAGCTGAGTGTGATGGTCTGCCATAATTGTAGCACATGATGTCAACCCCAGGCTTCTATGTGTGTGTGTGTATGAACATGCTCATACATATGTGTGTCTCAACACATGAGAACATACATCCATGCAAACTATAACTCATAAGCATGTAAAATAAACACATACAAATTAAAAAGAAAAAGAACAAGCTATTTTGGCCTGATTTCTGGAGAATCAATTTCTTCAGTCTATCTTCTGATCTCCACGTACACATACACACATAACATGGCATGAATGTATATCATACATGGGCACACACAACAAACAGTAAACATAATAAAAAAGTTAAAAAAACAGACCAATAAAAACCTTATTTATGACAATAACAAAAACAAAATTACTCAAAATTAACAGCAAGAACACTTTAGCTCCTAGATGAAGAAAACTGCAGGGCAGGGGAGGAGCAGAGCAGCGCAGGGCAGGGGAGGAGCAGAGCAGCACAGGGCAGGGGAGGAGCAGAGCAGCACGCTGGCCAAGCATCACAGGCTCAGCTCTGGTCTCCAGCACAGTAAAAAGGCTTCTAAACCAACTAAGTGGAAAACATTGTGAGTCATATTCTTTGACTCACTAGATTGTTACTGGGTAATCTAATGGTTTAAAGATTTATTAACACATCTCAACATTGTAAATCATTAGAAAAAATCCAAATAGCAGGAAAATATAAGATAAATTATGATAGGCTGCCTAGGCTGGCTTCAGACCCATGATCCTTTTTGTTCAGCTGGCATTGTAGGTGTGTACCACCATGCTAAGCTAATTATAGTATCCTTATGGTAAAATCTTCACAAGCACGGAAGAGTTTTGATGATGCTGTTGAGCTACACTGGACTCACTTTGTGACCGTATGGGAGAGGACACATCATACTCTTACAACTATCTAATTAATCGCAGCAGATCAAGCATTCATGTATAATCTATACCCACCTGTGTCTAGAGCACTCACTTCCTTGTCTTATCCAGCAACATTCAGGTTCTAATCTTCTACCGTCAAGAAACAAGCCGCCCCCACCCCAGTCCAAAACAGATGGAAACCAAGCATGTTGGAAAGATGTAGAAAACAAAGATAAACAAGTGGTAAGGACAATGTATCCCTTCTAGGCATCCAGCCTGGAGAGGTTTTTACTTGGCAGGTCTTCCTGCTCCTTTGCAATTTGTGTATCCAGAATCTATTCAAGAGGCAGTGCTTCTTAGATAAGTGAGTCACATCTTCCTCCTAGGCTTCTTTCTATGCTCCAGAATATGACGTCAGATATATTTGCAAAATTACCAGTCCACCTTAGACATTGGCTAGAGTTTCCTTGCCAACACTAAATTAGGGCTAGCTCTTAGACTGTGAGCATTGAGAGATAGTGAGATAGAGTTTATAGTAAAGATACTGTCCCTGTATCTATCACTCTATATTCTCTCTCTCTCTGTCTCTCTGTCTCTCTGTCTCTCTCTCTCTCTCTCGACAGGGTTTCTCTGTGTAGCCCTGGCTGTCCTGAAATTCACTCTGTAGACCAGGCTGGCCTCCAGCTCAGAAATCCACCTGCCTCTGCCTCCCAAATGCTAGGATTAAAGGTGTGCGCCACCACTGCCCAGCTTCTATTCTCTAAAAATAGTAGGGTGCAGGGCTCACAGGATGATAGCAGTTGCCACCAAACATGATGATCTGAGTTCCATCCTTGGTACCCACATAATGGAATGAGAGAATAGCTCCCACAAATTGTCCTCTGACTTACACAAATACACACACACACACACACACACCACATACCAAATATAATTTTAAAACAGCAGAGCAAATATTACACACACACACGTTTTGTTTTCTTTTTCTTTTTCTTTTTCTTTTTTTTTTTTTTTTGAGACAGGGTTTCTCTGTGTAGACCTGGCTGTCCTGGAACTCACTCTGTAGACCAGGCTGGCCTCGAACTCAGAAATCCTCCTGCCTCTGCCTCCCAAATGCTAGGATTAAAGGCGTGCACCACCACTGCCCAGCATGTTTTGTTTTCAAGATAGGGTTTCTTTCTGTAGCCCTGGCTGTCCTAGAACTAGTTATGTAGGCCAGGCTGGCCTCAAACTCAATGAGATCTACCTCTGCCTCCCAAGTGCTGGGAATAAAAGTATACACCACCACGACTGGAATTTTTGTTTTTAGATTTATTTTTATTTGTGTGTAAAGGTGGTTTGTCTGTATGTCATCACATATGTAAGGTACCTGGAAGAAGGTGTCAGATTCCCTGGAACTGGAGTTCTAGACAGTTGTGAGCTAGCATGTGGGTGCTGGGAACTGAACCTGGGCAGTCAGTGCTTACTGCTAGACCATCTCTCTAGCCTACAATTTAAAATTTTTAAAATGTAAATTTATTTTTGTGGGAGTATGTGTGTGTCACAGAACTATTCCCAGGGATCAGTTCTCTCTTTATACTACATGATTCTAGTGAATTAAACTCAGGTTGTCCAGTTTATACATTTAAGGCAGGTACCTTCATTCCCTGACCCTTTGTTGCCCTAAACTAGCCTTGAACTCATAGCAAAATTTCTCCATCAGCCTCCTTAGAGGCAAAATATTTTAAGAAACATTTGAAAATTACTACTTAGGAATCTGGTGTGGTAGCAAATGCTTAAATGCCAGTGCCAGGGAGACAGAGACAGGAGCTATCTCTGAGATTTCAAGACCAGGCTGGTTTATGGGTCAAGTTCTAAGACAGTCAGGGCTACATAGTGAGAACTTACTTCCAAAATAAATAAAGTATATACACAAACTGGTGAGGCACAGAAAGCTTTAAGCTCCTAAACTGAAATCCACAAAACAAACTGATATAGTGAAAGTTTTTAGCCCCAAATTTTGTGACACTCCTGAACCCATTGCCTGGTTTTGTAAAAATTGAGTAAGTAAGCAGCACCAAGTATATTTTCATAGAAAAGTATATATGGCATTTACATTTTTTTTAGTTCTTTTCATTTTTTAACGAGTGTTTGCAAATGGGCATTATGACGCCACACAGATGTAAGTCAGAGAAGATCTTCAGAGGGTGGCTTTGGGAACAGTGTACAGTGCTCACTTCCTGTCTTAAGACAGAGTCTCTACCTGGCCTGCCACTCTTGGAAATTCTCCTGTCTCTGTCTTTCATCTTACTCTGGATGTGTGTGACTAGTTTGACTTTTACTGTGCTGAGGATCATACTCAGAGCCTCGTGCTTGTGCAGCTATCTCCTTAGACTTCCTAACACACATTTTTCTATGGACTGAACAACTGTATACTTTCCATGAGGTTCTCAATGTTAATATATGCCACTTTCAGCTGTGCAGTGGTAGTGCTTGCCTTTAATCCCGGCATTCAGGAGGCAGAGGCAGATGGATCTCAAAGTCGGAGGCCACCCTGGCCTATAAAGTTCCAGGACAGCCAGGGCTATACAGAGAAACCCTATCTCAAAAAAACAAAACTAAACACACACACACACACACATATATGTATATAAATAAATATATCTATGTACACACACACACATATATGTATATAAATAAATTATATCTATGTACACACACACACACACACGCACACACACACACACACACAGAGTCCTGGAACTGTTAGGTGGACAAGCTTGCCTCAAATTCAGAGACCTGTCTACTTCTGCCTCCCAAATGTTGGGTCTAAGGGTATGTGTAACTTTGGCTAGCTTAGCCTTCATTTTCAATATCTCATGTTTTGAATACAAATAACAAAATCTCACCGGGCGGTGGTGGTGCACGCCTTTAATCCCAGCACTTGGGAGGCAGAGGCAGGCGGATTTCTGAGTTCGAGGCCAGCCTGGTCTACAGAGTGAGTTCCAGGACAGCCAGAACTACACAGAGAAACCCAGTCTCGAAAAACAAAACAAAACAAAAAACAAAAATCTCACTCATTTTTAAATAAACTTCTTAACAATATTAGAAAATAAAATGAGTAATTATGTTTTTGTTGTTGGAAGCAAGATGGTCTGTGTAGGAGAAAAAAATCAATAGTAAAAATCAAGGATTTTAAATTAAAATGCTGAAACACTAGCATTTTATTGTAACCATCAGTATAAATTCCTGATTCTTTCAACTCTTTAATAGCCATCCTAGCTTTTTACATTGCCAAGGTCAAGTAACAATGGGAAATAATGGCACTGTAGACATGAATACTACAGCTGCACAGGTACCAGTCAGTGTACATTTTTCCCTGCTAAGAAAAGCCAGGCTTTGGAGAAATTGCTGCTTCCAGGCCTGGGAGAGGAAGCTTACAAGAAGGTCCTGGAGGCTGGAGATGCAGCTGAGTTAGTTAGTTCTTACAGTATATTCGAAGTCCTGGGTTTGATCCATACAGAGCGCACACCTGTAACCATAGCTCTTGTGGTTGAAAAACCAACCAAACAACAAATTAAAAGATTTTTTTCTGAGTTAAGATCGATTTATACTGACATTAGGTTTTGTGTCTTTTCAATGTAGCAATGTATATTTATTACCAGTGGACTTCTACAATATTAAAGGACAAATTACCTCTTGTCAATAATCATTACACGGGAAGGTGGAATCCCCAAAACAGCACAGCTCTGAAGAAGTTCTTTCTTTCGAATCTCACCTTGATTGTAGTAATTTCCTGAGAAGACAGATAGAAGGGTACATTAACCATAGAGGCCTGTCTGCTCACTCATTCATATCTCATCTTGTTCCCTGCAGGATTTAAATCATCTGAAAAAGCCATGATTATGAGACTGACCTGAACCTGACGAGGCACCTTGAAAAAGCCATGATTATAAGAAGCTGAAGAAAATAGAAATTTAATGTTAAGGTATTCCTATTAGCAGATGACCATACATTTTAGTACCTCCATTTATAATGCCTATGCTTCTATTCATGTATGAATTAATCCATGAATCTATCTATCTATCTGTCTATCTATCTATCTATCTATCTATCTATCTATCTATCTATCTATCTATCTATCATCTATCGGTGCTGTGCCTAATATGTATGAGGCACCAGGTTTGACCCCCAGGTTTTATAGACAAATAAAACAGTCTCCAGATATCTAAAACTAATTTAAAGGATAGGGTGGCACTCTTAGGTGTCACAGGAAAACATGCAGGCACTGTTTATGAAAATATGCTGGCTAGTTTCTGTTAAAGTGGCACAAGTTATTTTTTTTTTTAAAGATTTATTTATTTATTATATATGAAGCTGTCTTCAGACACACCAGAAGAGGGCATCAGATCTCATTACAGATGGTTGTGAGCCACCATGTGGTTGCTGGGATTTGAACTCAGGACCTCTGGAAGTGCAGTCAGTGCTCTTAACCACTGAGCCATCTCTCCAGCCCGTGGCACAAGTTATTTAAGAAGAGGGAAACAAAATTAATAAAATTCTTCCATAAGATTGGCTTGTAGGCAAGCTTGTAGGGCATTTTCTTAATTAGTGATTGATGGGGGAGGACCCAGTCCATTGTAGGTGGTACCACCACTGGGTTGGTGGTCCTGGGGTCTATAAAAAAGCAGGCTGAGCAGGCCAGGGGGGTGCAAGCCAGTATGTAGTACTCTCCCCTGGCTCCAGGCTCCTGCCCTGCTTGAGTTCCTGGCCTCACTACCTTTGATGATGAACTGTTGTACAGAACTGTGAGTGACATAAACCCTTCCTCCTCACCTTGCTTTTAGTCATGGTATTGTATCAAAGCAATGTTAATTCTTACTCCTAAGACAGAAAATTAACTGTCTGTCTGTCTGTCTGTCTGTGAGTGACAGAGTGTCTATCATGTGGCTCTGGCTGTCCTAGAATTCCCTATGTAGACCAAGCTGATAGAGATCCACTTTCCTCTGACTCCTGAGTGCTGGGATTAAAGGCTTGTACCAGTACACCTGGCACATCCTTTTTTTTAAAGATTTATTTATTCATTTAATGTATATGAGTACACTTTTGCTGTCTTCAGACATACCAGAAGAGGGCATTGGATCCCATTATAGATGGTTGTGAGACTGAGAATTGATCTCAGAACCTCTGGAAGAGCAGTCAGTGCTCTTAACTGCTGAGCCATCTCTCCAGCCCCACATCCTCTTTTTAAAAGTTTAACAACCAGTTGCCCATCAATACCAGAAAAAGTTTATAGACATTCTTTACTTTCCCAATATATTTACTACAGTCCCTAGGAATAATTCTCTTCTGTAGCCTTACAAATAATAATACAATGAAGTTTTGGTGTCACTTAAAATGCACTCATTCTGAGTATTACCTAATTAACGTACTTCCTAATTAAAATTTCCTGAAAAGAGTTGCATGTACGGTTTGTGTTTAACTTCCTTGAGTCAAAGTTCTTTGACTTGTAGTATGTGGATAATGACTAATTCACAAGGTTTCCAGGAAGGTTACATAACATACATTAAGGCACTCAGTCAAGTAGTGTTTGCTCTTTCTTCCCTTCACTATCTTTGTTTGGCTGGCCTGAAAGTTATTATGATCAGTTCATTTTAAAATGTATTTGGAAGATAAAGGTCCACATTTTTATCATTATAAAATGAGGGATACAGTCCTGTCATCGCAGGTATACCTAGAATAATGGAACTACATGGACTGCTTAAGACAATAACAATTCAATAAAGACTTTCACATATACTATTGGAAGACTAACAGGAAATAGTGACGTGACCGACATATTGAATACAGCAAAAATTACTACTCATTCTCAGCCATTTAGCACTAGTTATTAGGAAAATGCAAATCGGCTGGGTGGTGGTGGTGCATGCCTTTAATCCCAGCACTTGGGAGGCAGAGGCAGGTGGATTTCTGAGTTCGAGGCCAGCCTGGTCTACAGAGTGAGTTCCAGGACAGCCAGGGCTATACAGAGAAACCCTGTCTTGAAAAACAAAAAACAAACAAACAAACAAAAAACGAACAAAGTGGGGCTGGGATACAGCTCAGTGGTTGAGGGCTTGCCTAGCATATGTGAGGCCCTGGGTTCAATCCCCAGTACCACAACTCCTGCCTTACCCACAAAATGGGAATAAAGTAGACGAATATGATGGCATAGGCCATAATCCCGGTACTCTGGGAGCTAAGACAGGAGGATTATGAATGTCAGGCCACCCTGGGTCACATACTGAGTTTGAGGCCAGTCTAGAATAGATGGTGAGATCCTGATACAAACAAAACAAAAGTTCTGAAACATTCTGCTGTCAATATTGATGCGCTTAAAAATATTAAGGTAATAAAAGCCATATGTAAAATAACAATGACCGCATGATTCTATTTATATGAGGCACCTAAACAGGGCAAGCCACAGAAACAAAGTAGAATTGTAGTCACAGAGCTAGAGGAAAGAAGGGATAGGGAGCTATTGCTTATGGGTTACAGGGTTTCTCTCTGGAGTGGTGAAATCAGAGTGCTGGTTATATAGACTTGTGAAGGTACCTTCAGAATGTTCAAAATAGTAAATAGATATGATCTTATAGGTATTTATGACACAAATGAAAGAAACGTTAAAAACAGAAACCAGAATTCCACTCTATAAAACTCTTCCAAAGCCGAGCGGTGGTGGCGCATGCCTTTAATCCCAGCACTTGGGAGGCAGAAGCAGGCGGATTTCTGAGTTCCAGGACAGCCTGGTCTACAGAGTGAGTTCCAGGACAGCCAGGGCTACACAGAGAGACCCTGTCTCAAAAAAACAAAAACAAAAACAAAAACCTCTTCCAAGGGGCTGGTGATATGGCTCAGCAGATAAAAGGATTCAATGACCAGCTAGATGACCTGAGTTTAATCACCAAAACTCAGGGTAGAAAGAGGAAATCGAGTCCATATGGCACGCACAGGCCCATACACATACATGCATACATACATACATACATACATACATACATGCATGTACTAAATAAATATGATAAAACTTTAAAAAATCTAATTATGAGTTATTATAAAATATAAATTATGCCTTTAAATTTGGTAGAATATTACTAAAAAAATTTAAAAAAATGTGTGTGTGTGTGTGTGTGTATTTGTGCATGTGAATCCATGCCTGAAGAGGGTGTCAAATTTCCTGGAGCTGGAGTTATAGGTGGTTTTCAGCTGCCTGACACAGGTCCAGAATAGAACTCAGGTCCTCCGGAAGAAAAGCAAATGTTCTTAACCGTTGAACCATCTCTTCTTCCCCTAAAACAATAGTAAAGGATCTTTAAAGAAGGAAAAGCCCCACCAAGTACACTTCTGAATCAGGCCATACCTGTAAGTGGTGTCATTTTTCACTATTCCCAAAAGGTTGGACTACATTTGTTTTTTTGACTCACAGAAACTAACAACTAATGTTGTTAGTTTCTCTGACCTGTAACTTATAAGTGGTCATTAACAAAGCCCAACACATGGAGGGGCTGTCTTTTTCTCATGACAATAGGCATATGTGTCCCAGATGGGACAAGAAGTCTGAAAGAGAACAGTGTCTGCTCACTAAGGAGAAGGTATAAAGTGTTTCCAGTACTAAGTTCTTCAAGGCTAGTTCTTCAAGTTTAGTTGATGACATCCATTCTACACTTCCAGCACAGGAATGCTGCTAGCATTTCTTTTCCTACACCTGAATCTTCAAGGTTCACAGGCAATGTTTGTCACTGTAGAATTTTACTTTAATCTCTGAAATAATCTCTTCTTCAACTAACATTTCTTTTATAGCTTTCCATAGTTTAATCAAACCTTCCAGTTTTACATTTACAAGTCTAATTCAGGGTGTGGGGTCTGGCATAGTTGGGTAGAGTGCTTAACTAGCAAGCATGACTTCCTGGGGTTAACACCCAGAACTTGGGAGGTGGAGGCAGAAGAATAAGAAGCTTAGGGTTACCTTCAGCTACATAGTGAGTTTGAGGCTAGCCTGGGTTAGATGAGATCCTGTAGCAACACAAAAACAAACAGGCACACACCTACCACATAGACACAAAATAAAATAACCTTTGCCAGATTTAGCTCATCTGGGGATGTAGCTCAGTAGCAAGATACTAAACTTAGTCTTCAGGACTGCAAAAACAAAACAACAAAACACTCCAACTAAGTAAATAACTAGCAATATTTGCTTTACAAACTTATATTTCTCTCTCTCTCCCTCTCCCTCTCCCTCTCCTCCTCCCCCTCCCCACCCCCTCTGTGTGTGTGTGTGTGTGTGTGCGTGCATGTCACAGCATGCATTTAGAGGATTGGAGAAAACTTTTGGGAGCTGGTTATCTCCTTTTTTTTTTTTTTTTTTTTTTTTTGGTTTTTCGAGACAGGGTTTCTCTGTGAAGCCCTGGCTGTCCTGGAACTCACTCTGTAGACCAGGCTGGCCTCAAACTCAGAAATCCTCCTGCCTCTGCCTCCCAAGTGCTGGGATTAAAGGCGTGCCCGGCTCTGTCTATCTTTCTAAGATAGGGTCTCATGTATCTTGTAGCCCAGGCTGCCCTTAAACTAGCTATGCAGCCAAGGATGCCCTTGATCTCTGGGTCCTCATGCTGCTTCTACCTCCCAACTGCTTGGATTACCAGCATGCATGCACTTGACTTAACAATAGCATATGTACAAGCACTTATACACTGTTTTTTGTTGTTATTGTTTTGAGTTTCTCTGCGCAGCTCTAGCTGTCCTAGAGCTCACTCTGTAGTC